TATGATAATGTCAGCAGATCATTACTGAGTTCAGAAAAAAACATGGCTCCAAATATGAAAACCCAAAACTAGGACTTAAAATGTGATAGTTCAAACTGATAAAATAATTGATGTCCTTAGGCTAAAATAGAATTCATTTCATTGGAGCACTTTCTCTATCTACAAAAGGAATGAGTTTCCCTGCTCTAGGGAACGGCCTTATATTATACGTCTGCTATTAGATAGTAGTCTGCCTTGAAAAATAAAGGAACAGGTCAACTACTATGTTCACATTCAAAAATGCATTCAACCAGAAAGATAAATGTGCACAGCCGACACTCCCTCTCTGCTGCTAGAAACTGGCTTCGAGATAGTTATGATTTCCCCTGTGTGGTAGGGTGGGGCGACAAATAAGAAAATAATTTCCTCCTAAAATTGAAAAGGTCACAGGTTTGATTGTCATGACTGCAAGTGATTTGTTGAACTCTCCTCTTGTGGGTTAATGAGCTCTGCTCCTGGCTGGTCCACTGCTGTGACCTTTCTGCCTAAACCCATATGAGTTTACTGACCTTACATGACTGTCTAACGTCCATCTGAAGTGAAAAGGAAAAGCTGGCAATAGTATTTTTATACTCACCGAGAAAACTGCATTTTGGAGCCCAAAGGGTATGGGGGTGAGTCTCGCTAAGGCCACAACTTTGAGTCCACTTCCTCCCTCCACCACTCGTATGACAGCACTGAGCTGTTCACTGTTTCCAACTTTGTTCAGCACCCAGTCAGTCAATAGTCGTTTGCACACCAGGTGTGCCACAAAGGTTCCTATTAAAACTCCCACCATAACTAGTCCCATTCCCAGCACAAAGCCGTAGAGGTAGCCAGCTGCCACATTGAGAACAATGTATCCCCATCCACACGGGAACGACACAATAATCAAACCAACTATAAACAGCAGGGCTCCGACGAGGCTGTCCAAGCTCTCCACCCAGAGCAGGAGGTCCTTGAGGTATTGGCGCACGAGGGCCACCGAGGAGAAGCACACAGCGGTTAGGATGCATGCCAGCAGGGCGCTCTTGAAGCAAAAGGTGGTGATACAGCATGGGTGTCTGAACTCTCCACTGTTGCTGAAGGTCGTCCCCCCTGTGGCGCTGATAACCTCGGGGTCTCCATCTGACTTCCCGATGCCGGCCCCTGTCTCGTCAAAGGCGCTGCATATCAGGATGTCAATTTTGTCACAGTCGTCTGTGGCAGTCCTCTGCAGCCAGCGGTTCAGCTGAATCTGTGCCTTGCCCACCGCATGCTTGACAAGCTTGGTGAAAAGCTGCACGGTCGTGGACCCTGACATTGACATGTTGGCCCCTCAAATAGGCTCTGGGGACCGGCAGCAGGGCTCAGGAGAACTGTCCAACCCGGTGACAGCTGTGATGTTTGAGATTTCCAGACAGGCCTTTAAATCCAGCGCAAGTCCATGTCTAGTAATATCAGTTTATTGAGCTTCAACAGAAGCAAATATTTCTGCACTTTACAGAAGATGGCTTCAGCAGTGGTGACCCATTGCTATGCAACTCTGAGAGAAATTGTCCAGTGAGACATAAAGAGAAAACCCGTCACTCTCCTTGGCCATTACATGAACTGTCCAATTGAATAATGTTTATCTCGGGTACACTAGCTGGGCAACGTGCCAGTCCAATGACTTAAAAGTGCCAGTTTTGTAGTCTCTGTCTGAAACACTCGCCATATTCAGAGTTGTCATCCCTCCGCTCCGGACAATGCAGAGTCAATAGATGATGGAGGGAGCTGTCAGGGAGGAAAACAGACGAGCAGCGACGACAGCGACAAAATAATCCAACACTTCTATTCAAGTGAGATGATCGGAATCAAAGTGGTGCAAGGACGTCAACTTTTAAGACTCCACCAGAACCAGAACCAGCCCACCCGGCTAACACACTAGCACAAATCACAGCACGGCTAACTCACTCCTGTGGTTAGCTAAATAACTCTCTGCGTGGATAAAGTCCGACCGCTGCATTTCAGAGACCAAACCGCCGTAGCTGGCCCTCCTCGTCCGCTTGTCCCCGGACAGACAGAGCGACAGACAGGACGCAGAAGTCCGTTATGAAACCCCCCCGCCGCGTTGCTCTCTCTCTCTCTCTCCGTTAGCTGGGTGTTGTTTCTCTCGTCGCCCTCCTTCCTCAGTGGAGGCTGCCGCTGTTGTCGCTGTTAGAGCTATTCATACCGACCACTGTTTGTGTCCCAGAATGCCAAGTAACCTTTGACGTTCTCGTCCAATCAGAGCGCCCCGTTTTGCTATCGCGAGATTTACGCGGGATTTCGTGACAAATTATGTTTGTTTTGGATCAATAATGTTTGGATGGGTTTTTCTGCTGTCAGCCACTGTGCTGCCACATAAGCAGCGTGAACTACCACAGACCTCCCATGATGTGTGAATTGATTCCCTCCCAGATTGAATTATTTTATTTCAATTATTTAGATTAAATTTACTTTAATTAATAAGGCTTTCAAATCTAACCACGTATCGAGTATCACGTAGCTCAAGAATGAGAGGCTTAATCAATTAGACAGCAGTGGTCGAAGATGCACTTAGATCTTTTACTTTAAACTATCAATACAATATACAACTACACTACACAAAGCCATTAACATTTTTGATTAGCTTGCTGAAGTGGAGCTCTAATGATTTTTGTGTTGTGAGTTTTTTTTTTTTTTTCACCCTATACAAAGCATCATATTTTATAACCAGGTCATGTTTCAACTATAATGTAACTTGAGATGAATGTAATAAAAAGCACAATATTTGTCTGTTGTTGAGTAGATGTATTAAGTAGCATAAAATGGAGACAGTGGACATACAAATAGGGCTAATTAAAAATGTTATTTAAGTACAGTACTTGAGGAAATGTATGTATTTACTTTCTTTCACTGGAAAAATGTGTTTATAAACTATGCTGAACTTAGTAAGTAAAAATAACACCTTAATATCAAAATACTTCATTACAAGTAAGAGCCTTGCACTCAAAAATTGTACATAAGTAAAAAAAATAGTACAACATGTATTAAAAGTCTACAAAGAGCAAACATTATATAGAATAGCCCTTATAAGAGTGTACAGTACCGCATGTTACATTATTGTATTATTTTTACTGACATATTAACACACATTTTGATGTAGCTTGTAGGGGTAAAGCTTATTTTAATGGCTTTGTATACTGTTGGGGTGTTTAATCTATAATATGCATCATATTTTATATGTTGGTTCATTGTTTTGTTTACTCTCTACAATCTGTAAAGTAACTAGCAACTGTAGTTGTAAGATAGGTGTTGTGGAATAAAGAGTACAAGGTTTGTCTTTGAAATGTAGTTGATAAACTGCTGAAAACAAACTCCTTCATACAAGTAAAAGTAATATGACAATGTCCAAATACTCCATTACAAGTCAAAGTAAAAGTTTTATCAACCAAATGTACATAAAGTAGGCTTGGTTAAGTTCTAGGAAACAACTGGAAATAACTCTTTGGAATAATTGTCAACCATGTTTCATGGAAACCGCAATTTAAATGTATAAAATTCATAAAGTTTTAATTAAAAAACGCCATAACATGATGAGCAGGATTCCTAGTAACAGAGTTTATGCTCATTTTCTGCTACATTATCTAAGAGCATACAGTATAACATAGTAGCCTGAAGGTAGTTTCCCTGCTTGGCATGCTTACCATAAATTCATAATGAGGGGAGTGAAGCAGACAATATGTGCATTCATGCATCTACCACCGCTCACCGCCTGACTCGCGCAGCTGTGGGCAAAGAAAGCCCCTAGGTGGTAGTCCTCAAAATACTAGTGTCGCCTCCACTCTCCCAACAGCCCTCTCTCTGGAGTCAGTACAGACACATATACTGAAACAGATGACATTAAATGCATCACACTGAAAGATGCTCATGGTTAGTTTGTTCATATGGCGTTTATATAAACTGCTGTGCTGTTGTAGCTGTCCACTAGATGGAACTATTACACTGTTTTACAACCAATCTAAGTATGTTTGTAGAATTTATACATTTGGGTTACACTGCATTTATGTGGAAACATTTAACACTAGACAACAATCTATAATTCATCACATAGTTTTAATGGGTGCAAAAAAAGACTGTCTGCCATTTAAGGAGCAACCTTTGTGTCTTTGGGGTTTCTCACTAAAGCGTTTATTTTATTTAATCAACAAAAGGATAATTATGTGTATTTTCTCATATCATTTTTCCAAATTGACGAGGGTGTGTAAATTACAATGTTGTTTATGTTTAATCAATACAAACATATAATCACAAACTAGAATGTCCTGTTATCTAAACCTCTAAGGTCAATTTAAAAGTAGCAATAAAAACTCTTAAGATAAGTTTTTAAGGAAAATGCCTGAGGCCGCAGAGAAGACATCATACACAACTTGTTTAATTCAAGCTGAAATAACCTTTTATCCGACCTTTGTATCTTTGAACAAAAACGTAGGTTATACATAGCATTTCTATCTGTGCATATGTAGGTTGTTTATGCTGCTCATTCGACTGTATGTTATAGATATTGATTTATATCTGACATATGTTTCAGTGATAAAGTGTTTGAGTATGTGCAAAACGATATTAAAGTACAAACAGAATGAAACACATTTGAATCTGATTTACACTTTGCTGGCTTCATCTGAGATGCCTGCAGGTTTGGACTCCTCACAGCAGCAGCTGGAGTCAAGACTGAGGCGGTCTGTACTTGACAGGAAGTTCAGTGTGTTTGCCTTCAAAATAAAAGCATATAGTTGCAGAAAAAGTGGAGGTTTGTGTATGCCTGTTGAAAAGAAGCCTCAAAATCATCCGCAGAACAGTTGATCTAACAACACGTGGAGCAAAAGAAGGGCATAAAAATGTATAGATAATTTATATGATTAGTACTCTGGCAGTGGTTGGTTGGTTAAATTGCGAAGCTTTAATCCGGAAGTAGTGTGTTTTATTCCGACAGACTTGACAGCAGTGCAGAGTGTCTGTCTGACCGGTGGCTTTGATCAGATAAGAGGTTGAAGCGGACACATTCCTCTGCAGTTTGCAAGTGAAGATACATTGTGAATGATGGATTGTTCAGAGGAGCTGCAGTGTGTATCTGAGGAGCCCAGCGCTCAAATGGAGCTGAAGAAGGGAATGTCGATTTTCATTGATGTAAGTAAAACAAATCCTTACTTATAGTACAAAATGTATTTTATCCTCACTATTCATGCTTACACTTTGTTAGGATTTCTGATTAAGTGCAAAAACTTAAGCATAAAGCTATAAGATATAATATCATTTATATATATATATATTATAGCTTATAGCAGGGAAAAAACAATCAAGGAAGCTTTTCAGGATATATGTTTTATTGCATTTGAAGAAATAGATGCATTTTACATTTCACTTCTAAGTTTGAGTGATTAATAGTGTTGGAGGTTTTGGAGCAGCTAAGTTAATGTATGCAGGGTACAGAGGGTTCCTTGTTTTAGAGAATGAATTAATTTGACAGGGCTGACCTTTAATTTTGCTTCATCGTGTAAGGATTTCAAAGGCTGGTCATCCATCTTTATGTCAGTGTTCAAAACCAAATACGAAGTTAATAAAATCTCTGAAGGATACTGATTTGATAAAGTCAGGGTGTTATTCATGCTGACCTCACTCAATCTAATCTGGCTCTATTAGGCTAAAAATAACATTAATATCTAGAAAATGTTTGAATCTAAAAAGTCTATTTTTGTCAATTATTCTATGTATAATTGAATGCTATAAGGATTCCCTACATTTGTAGACCTCCCTCAGATGATGAGGATTTAAATATTTAAATCTTACATGAATATCAGATCATTAGCTGTATCTTCCTCAAGTGCTTCTCTCTCAACAGCTTTCCCTCCCCTGTTTCATTCTGCCTCAGCACCCACCACCTAATTACATTCCCCTCGTTCCTCCACTCTTCCATTCGCTTGTGATGTCTTTACCATAAACCTGTTGGCTGCCTTCAGTGTTTGAGAAACACAGGGGAACCGGGAGTTGTTAAAGGTGGAAAGCCTTATCCACCACGTGAAATGTCTCGGTGATAATGAACAGGTGCTCTTCTCTGAGTCTTAGGGAATAACAACCACTATGTCTTCAGAGGCGAGATGGTCGACCGAGTGTTGCCTCTGTAGTCTTGACATCTCGCACAGCTTTCGCCTCAGTCGGCTGTGTGTCATTATAACACATATTCTGACTCCGAACAGGTTGGATGTGCTGTTTGTCTATGTGTGTTTTTCTTCATTGTTTTGATGCTATTGTCGTGCCAGATTTCCACTTCATTACCAGATTATAAAATCTAGATTACAGATTACAAAATGTTAAAATTAATGTTTAGTCACATTCATTTTACTCATTAGATGTAAAAGATTAATTAAGATGAAATGAGAAAAGATGATGAGATATTCAATTACAGGGTTCAAAACAGTGGTGGAGTTGTCAGTGTGAACTGGTATCTGAATAACTAAACCCAATCAGCCCACAATTATAAATGATTTTCTGTAATATAATTGGTATAATTTGTGTACACATCAGTTGATAATAACAGGAAGAACAGTCGCCCTGTACAAGGCAGGATTTTCAGAGCAGATAAATGTAGGGTTGCAAAAAATCGAATATGATAATTTTCACAATAATAATTGTATATTAAGAAAATGTTCCTTTTGTATTGTCTCAAAGCCAAAGATTATGTCATAAATTGCCTGACCGGTGGTCCAAAAGCCAAAAATATTCAATTTACTATAATTTGAGATGAGAAAAAAGAAGCCAATTCTCACATTTTAAAAGCGGAAACAAATACTAATAATAATAATAAACTTTATTAATCATTTATTGAAGTAGTTGTTGATTAATCATCTGCTAATCAACTAATCAATGAATGAGTTCATGATCGTGATGTGAAGTGATGATTGATTGTTTTAACTTTGTGATTGACAGTGTCTTTTTTCCCTAATTTATTTGCGTGTCTATTTGTTGACCTGGGTGGTGAGGCTGCTGCCGTGTGTTGTCTTTTAGAGATAGAAAGTTGTATTTGGTGTAATTGATTGGTCATATAAATTAGAGATGAGTAACAGGTAGAGACAGAAAGGAGTTTATAGGTTGAGGACAGCAATCAAAGAAGCAATAAAGACTGATTAGCAGGAAAATCTGAACGAATTATGTAAGCCTGAGCACACGACAGACTGCCAAGAGCTAGAGGGTGGTGGGTGGATATTTTTTATTTGTATTTTTACCCCTTTGTAGCACAGAGCTGAAGCCCCCCGAAGCAAAGAAAATCCAAAGACGGAAGGAATACTTCCCGGTTTGGATGGCATTTTAAAATATAGATCTTGCACATAAAGGGTTGTGCTGTAAGATTTAGATTTATAGTGATCATGTGTAAATCAAAGCCTGTTCAAATTCTTCTTCTCCACAAGCACAAACCCGACAAGAAGAGAAAGTGGGCAATGCTATTTCGAGGTGGTTGGACCCTTTTAAAGCTGATGTGGTCATTGCCACTCTGCCTTTCATCTCCTCTGGACTCTGGGACAGCACTATCAATAATTTAATGACACACTGCTTTTGAGAGTATAATCGATGATCCCCGCACACAAACACACTTACTTTAACTTTGATGATGTGAAACCTTTTTTGACATCCCTCTTTTTTCCTTTTTTTCTCGTTACAGATTTTACGGAGAGCTGATAAAAACGGTAAATATACACACACACAGACACACACACACACTGCCTTTGGCATTACTTCAACCTTTCTCTCTCCCTCATGTGTGAAAACAGATGCACTTTCTCAATGAAATTCTGATCATGACTGTCTGCTGATACTCTTTCAGTTGCCATGGTAACAGGAAACTGACCATGCCCACTGAGGTTTAGTATCAGAACATTAACGAAGAAAAACGTCAAAATTTGTTAGACATTAGACCAGTTAGACATTTTTTATCGTGGCAGTCCAGACTTGATAAAGTGGTATAGCTGGAGGTTCAAATGTTGCTGTTGTTTCACCTCCACAGTCTTGTGCAGCAATACGCAGTATACATACAAACATACATAGTTTATTTTGTTGTTGACAGCAGGAGTCTGTCAGACTGACTCAACTAAATACACCAGACTCAGTAAATTAAAATGCAAAGCTTGTGTGCCATGAAAACTAGAGATCTGCAGTGTTATTTCACTTCTTCTTTCTGGATTTTTTGCCTTTGTGCTTTATTATGGAGTATTTAGGGTGAAGGGAACAGCAGTGTGAATGGGCAAATATTCAGTATGACCTTTTTTCATATATATATATATATTTATATATTTATAATTCACTTCTCTTATAGTAAAGTAATTTCAGTGTCTGTTGGTTACTTTTTATCTTCACCTAAGACTATGAATTAAAACCAATCACAATTGATCAAAACAGCCAATGTCATTTATCCCCTTGTTCTAACTTCCAAAAAATGTGATACAAGTTAAAATAATCTATACCTCCTTTTGCTGGGGACCCCCTACTACTCACTCAAGGACCTAAGATATTCCTGCGACCTACCTGACTGCTGCTACTACTGGCTGTGCATGGAGAGTTCTGTTCACTATATAAATGACTATATACATGTATAGATATAGATATAAATAATAATGAAGAAATGTAAGTAAAAGTGCAAATACACTATGATACCACAGTAAGAATTATTATCTGCTTCAAAAGATAAGATTTGCCTTGTGGATCGCTTAGTCTCGACGCACACTCTGCCAAAGTAGGTTGGAGGGGTGATGAAGGTTTTTATATAATGAAATAATAAGAATAAGGAGAATAATGTGCTCTGTCCAATGTGCTGCTTTAATTTTGGGACCTGTATGTTATCCCTACTGAAAATGAGACCACCATTTGTTTGTATGACTGTACACTGACAGTATCTTTTAGTGTCAAACTAACACGTCATAAAATATAACCCTGCTCACACACACTTTCACACATCATGTTAAATATTCACACCATTCACAGCACATTTAGTCTTTTTTAGTGAAGTAACGCACTGAAATCAGGTTTCATTTGACATTTTGACGGAGACCCTGACATAAAAAAACGATTTAAACCACACAAAAAATAGCTCATCAGAATTCATTATTCACACGGTATGACATGCCTCATTATTCATTAAATGTCCGTCCCACGCTGTGAATGATTTGAGGTCTTGTCATGTGGTAAGATAAGAAGTCATCCCACATGTTTGTTTTTAGTGTTGTGTAAACAGCAGCACTTACATGTCAAATCTGTTGTTCCAAGATTATTTCTGAGCTCATCGACAGTGAGTCACTGTGTGCTTGGTTTTATGTGCGTGTGTGTTTTGTCTCTGTGCATCCTCCAAAAGGGGCTCTGCTCATCTGACATGACAGTCATAGTGAACATCACCTCCAGAGCAGCAGGTCAGCAGTGAGCATATAAAGATCAGCCACCTCACATCACACAAGCAGAGAGAAACTACTGGAGCTGTGTGGAGAATGTGTCGTCCGTTATTTTAGCTTCATTTTCCTGAAGGATCTTTAGTCTCGGCCTCCTCATTTTGAAATTCTGCCTCTTTTCATCTCATGAATATTTCACACATCTAGCACATCTTTCTTTTATAATCATAATTGCAGAGCTTCAGAGCATAAAAGTGACTGATTGTTTGAGATAGTTTGTTAAGTTGGCCTAATGGAGCAAATGGTGATGACCCTTTGCAGCATTGTTTACTGTAATAATAAAAACAAGAGGGAATGTTTCACTGAGGAGTTGTTGTTGTTAAGTTTTATTACTGCTTTTTCTACTTTGAGGGAATTTGATTTTAACACTTGTGCTGATTCAGCCCCTGGAGTTTATAACACACTGCATCTTATCTGGGTTACCTCAGTTTCATCACCTCCGGAGGGGGACTCAAATTCTTCATTAAAAGTTATTGTACCAATTTCCCAATGGAACAATGCAGAATGAAATCTGTGCTACTGAGCTTCAAACCTTTTCACTTACACAGAAACACTTCATTACATGTTTGTGTCCAACACACCTGCAGACCAGTGGTGGAACATTCGTACATTTACTCGAGTACTGTACTTGTACTTTACTTGAGTCTTCCACATTTATCTGACAGTCCGCACTGCAAAAAGAACAAACACACTCCTTTTTAGAAAGAATAAGACTCCTACGGACAAGCTTCCATAAGTCACCTCTCACTCATTATCTTACTTCTCTGAGCATTCTTTGCTTTACACCAACATAGTAGTGAACGGAAAGGATCCTATTTTATTCTATTAAGTTTAGTTACCACTGTTTATATACATATGTTTAAATTAGAAAAAGCATATTGCAAGGTAATCACATATATGTATAGATATATGTGCCTATGTATGTGTGTTTTAATGAAACATATTTAAAATGTCATTGATCTGACAGCTAGTTACTTTACAGGTTTTGCAAAACATACAAAGAGTTTATAAAATACAATGTTTTGTTAAAAATTTAACTACCCAACAGTATGTAAGTAGAGTTGAATTCTATATATTAATCAATTAATTAATTATTCGATTTACTTTTTATTTTTTATTTTTTACAGTGGCTCAGTGGTTAGCACTGATGCCTCACAGCAAGAAGGTCCTGGGTTTGAATTCTGGCTGAGGTCTCTCTGTGAGGAGTTTGTATGTTCTCTAATTTTCTAGTCAGTGCCCTTGACCAAGGCACTGGCTCATATCTGGAGTTGGTGCGGGCACAGAGTGGCTGCCCACTGCTCTTAGTACTCTGATGGGTAAAATGCAGAGAATGAATTTACCTACAGGGATCAATAAAGGATAACTTAACTTATGCCTTTAATTGATAGAGACAGCTGAAGACATGGAAGGGGGAGAGAGGAGTGGGGTGTGGTGGCTCTGGGTTATTGTGACAGCATTTCTCTCTTCTTTTCTGATTTTTTACGATCAATCAATTTAGTGAGAGAATATTCATCAGATTAATCCATAATAAAAATAATCATTAGTTGCAGTCCAATACAAATAGTTTAAAATGAGCTCAACCTCAGCCAGTTACAGTTACAAACAGTAAAATCCTGCTTTTACATTAATGCATCACTAATAATAATGTAATATAAAATATATAATAGTACAACAGCTGCCTTTCACTTTTAATACTTTATTTATTTTCCTGATTACACTGATTAATTAATTACTTTTTTTTTTTTTTTACATTTTTGTAACAAAGTTGTTTTTACAATATAGCATTAGTACTTTTACTCCTGTTAAGGATCTGAATACTTCCTCTACCACACCACCAAGTGTTTGAGTAATAAGGAATGTTTTAGAAACCCTCACCTCACAGGATGGTTCAGTCCTGACTGAGCTGTCCTGACAGCTCTGCTGACAAGTTATATTTGTGCTCTCTCCCCAGATGATGGAAAATTGTCCTTTGATGAATTCAAAGCCTACTTCTCTGATGGAGTCTTGACAGCTGAGGAATTGAAGGAGCTCTTCCACACAATTGACACTCACAACACAGAGTAAGTCAATTAATTGCTTTATTGTTTCACTATTTTATTCCCCAGAGGTCATAACTGAGATATGGGTCACAGAGAAGAGGTAGATGAAGATAGGATAAATACAAACTCAGTATCTTTGTTTTAATTCCTGTTATACTCTGTCTAATGAAAATCCAGTGTGCTCACACATCCAGGAGCAGTGAAAACTCTGAATGAGGGTTTATTTAAAGGTATAGATCACAGGAGGTGATTCTTATCCAAAGGTTACATCTTAGACCGACTATGTTCTACTTCTATTTACTAACAAACATGTCATGGTTAAAAAAAAAATTTGCAACGTTTTCTGGACTTTTCTTCAAATCCCCATATTGTTCCTAAGCTTCTGCCTAATGGCGCTGTCACCTGTCATAAATAACAAAAATATATGTGACTGTGTCCTACTAAAAGAAAGAATAATAGCAAATCGAAACGTAACCTTAGTGCATAGACCAAAATGGTATATCTTGTGTTTGGATTTCATCTACTTTTATTATTTTGTTTTTATTGTAAAGCATAAAACATCTTATATCTCACCAAGTGTAAATATAAAAGTGTCTCTTCCAGGAACCCAATGGTTAATTAATAGACATTTTAATATAACACTGTGACTAACTAATAATTTAAATTCCCCAAATACATCACAATTAGCTTAGGTTGTAATCAGTGTCCTATAGAAATTACATGTTTTCAAACCAAGCTGGACACTAAAGTTTTATAAGAAGTCATGTTGCATTTGTTTATCATTGTATTCTACAGTGAACTGAATATAATATAACATCCAAAATAAAGTGACTCCTGTCATATACAATATTTATGGGAATTGGGCCGCACTGTGATAAGAGTTTTCTATTTATTCATAAGCTCAGTATTGTTCAAGTGAAGACAAGCAGACCAAAATGTGACAAGACACTCCAGGCAGCGAGCTTCTCTGCAAGACACAGGAGACCCATGTCAGCCCGATCTATGTTTTCACCCGTCAGCCTGTCTCATATTCTTATGTCTCTATATGTAAGGATTAAAGACAGGCTTGCGTATAGATACACTGCTACACTGCAATGCAATATTATTGCTCAACTATTACCACTAGTTACATAGGTCCGATACACGAGCAACTACCCAGAATTCATCCTAAACACCATAGCAACCACTCATGGAAACCACCTGACAACCACCTGGTACGACCGTAGCAACAGGCAACCGCACAGAAACCAACTAATGATGCATTAATTTGGTCAAACTGTCAAATTATATGTATAAGGCTACTAGGATAATAGTATAGTAAGTAAGTAAATAAATATGTTTTATTGTTGGAATTACAAAATGTACTTGAGTGAACAACAGCACATTTTCAGGATACATCAGCAACAGTCCTATAATAATAATAATAATAATAATAATAACTTTATTTACGTCTTCCAAAAACATAGTTACAAAGTGCTTTACAATAAAAACATTACATAATACATGACTTTAATTTCAGTGTCTACTCAAATACATTCTACTGACCCAAAGGCTCAACATGGAGACCCAAATAAACAATGTCAGTGCTTTGCATTTTATTAAATCCATTGCTCAATGGGGGCCGGTGGCGCTCCTTCAGTTTGTTAGGCAGGTTATCAAACAGCATTTCCTGCTCCCTCGTGTTCAGCCTCGTTCTGCAGGCAGCTTGTAAGACTCTCTTTGATACCTGTGGCTCCCTCTACAGCAGCTGAATCCTCCTAACAGCCACATGGAGGAGGCACAATAGGGAGTTCACTTTTATGTCAGGAAGAGAAACACAGGCAGATATTATTGAAACCTAAATAATATAATAATAATAAGGAAAACAGTTATATAATAATAGGTAGATAGTATTATCATTTACAGCCACGCTAGCTGCCCTGTCAGGGTAGTTAGCACGCTGACTTGCTAATATGAATACGTTTCCATGCTCAAAGTACAGCTGAGACAGACAGGAAACCTGGCAGTAGTTTATGAATTTGAAGAGTTATTCAACACCAGCTCAAAATGTATCCTGCTGTAGGGAATTCACTCAAGGTGTGTTTAGTGCACCTCAGCATCTCTGTCAGGTGCAGTTACAGGTGCAGCAGAGTGCACACAAAGTCTGCAGTAACAGACTTCCAACCAGAAGAGGTCAGTGAAACTTTGCTTTTCAGTCTCGTTACTCTTTACGTAAGAGTTGGACAAGTGGAAATATTGATCTGCTGGTGGCGCTTTAAAGGGACATTGTATAGGAATTTCTCCCATCTAGCGGTGAAATTGTATTTTGCATTCAAACGAATAGTGCTCTCTAGTGCCTCGCGTTTTCAAATGCATATTGCAACTACGGTAGCCGTTATGTACCAAGAAGCCTACCGGTCGAGGAGAAAGCAGGCAACTTCAGCGTCCCTTTGAAAGTCTTTCTCCTTCATTAGCTCTTTCCACCTGGGAAAAGCTACCCCGATGTTTACCCTTGTTTTTTGAATTTGCCGGTCACGTTGCCTTTTTAATTCCCTTTTTCGCTTTTTTGGCGACGAGGATTCCTTCTCCTGTGGCTCGGCATAAATATGATCCTCCATTATTAACTAAAGTGCAGTGCAGACTTTCAAATGTGCCGGGGCAGCGACAAGCGCCTCTCACTGATCTCCTTCTCCGTTATAGCTAGTTTCAGTCACGTGACGCTGGCTCTGAACGAAAACCCGTTGCGGATTAGCTAGACAGGTAGGCTGGTGCTTTATGTCCCTCTCGGCGATTATAGTTTTTCAAAATGGCGGAACGACATGGAAGCCTCCATGGACTTGCCCGTCCAATGTATATACAGATAAGAAACTCTTTGCTTACGAGGATAAGTCAGATCATTGGCAGAGGTAATTTTACACCAATGAGGACACATTTATGAATGAAGACATTGATTTTAGCTAATAAAATACTTAAAACACTACACAATGTCCCTTTAATGAAAGTCAGCGGATTACTAACTTCATTTGCATTCAACGTCTGAGGATCATTATGTTTTAAGGGGAATCCATCCAATACTTGGTGAGATATTTTACTCGCATTATCGTATATAGAAGTCATCAGATGGGTCATTGTCACTTTTGTTCTGGATGAACCCATAATAGTCGTTTTTGATTGGATTCAGCCATTCAGTCAGTGACAGCTTTGTTATCTTTTATTACTGCAATAAAAAGGTTAAAATGCTGTTCAGTTCTGAGGCGGTTTCCCACAACAAGAGCCAAAGTCACTCCACATTTAAGAGTTTAATAATTTGCATGCATCCTTTGAACAAACCCCTTGGGACACTTTGGTATTTGTTTAATGTAGAACAGTTGAGCTAAAACACCTCATGGAAATTTTGTGTGAAATGAATAATGTGCAGCATTACACAACACCAGAACAGCAGAGCTGTAAGGTGAACGGTCGGGCACTGCTGTTGATGAAGGCCAGACAGTAGACAAGTAAAAATAATACATTAAAAAAGGATCAAACACAATATATCTAGAGGCTTTAAGATCAACTAGTCAGACAACGTTAGTCAAGGTACCTCTCAAATTCCCGTTTAAAGGAAACAATGAAAAACAGGATCAGTCTGAAAGTTGAGTTTTTATGTTATGGAAAATTAAAGTAACTTGTTTTAGGTGGATTTTGCTGCAAGAGTTGCTAGTGAGATGCTGTAAAAGCCTGAAGCTGAAACAGACTATTTCTCTGATGGTTTTGTTTAATCAAATACCACTGTTTGAACAACCCACTCTGCATTTCACCTAGTGTCTAATAGTTATTACTGGGGGCTTGAGGCAGTTATGGTCTTAAGTAATGGTCTGTCAGTGACTGGAGAGGCCAGTGATGCTGATTGTTTCACTGTGACTGCTGGTGAAACGCAAATATCTTTACTAAAATAAATATCACAGTTTCATTGACTCAGAGTAATTATACCATAAAAAATAAAAATAATTAAATACTCATTATGGGTACCCATTAAAGAGGTCAAGGAACCCCTTTGAAAATAGCCATGCCAGTTTTCCCTTGCCAAAGTGTATCCTAACTTTGGAGCATTATTTATCCCCCTTCCTGACAAGCTAGCATGACATGGTTGGTATCAGTGGATGCCTCTGAAAGACAGTAATGTCAGCAAAGGACGTGGGCAGTGCTGTAGTCAAGACCACCTATATCAAGTCCAAGACCAGGACTAGTCAAGACCAAGTCCAAAGACGTTTGAAGTCCTAGGCCGAAGGAGAGGGACAGACCGAGACAGTAAAAAGACTGCTTTTGCCTTTGCCAAGAAGGTGAGTTTTGGCAGCCAGGCCTACAATTGACAAGTGACATTGACTGGCCACCTGGAAACCATGGTTACCAATTGTCAGTGCCTGTTTTAGATGGATTTTGTATTACACCAATATCCATTTTCTGAGCAAGTGGTGGATCATCAATGGTTTTTTTTTTTGAAGGACGAAGTTACTTCAGAAAAACAAACAAACACATATTTAGACCAAACAGAATAAGTGCTAAATGGACTGTACTTGTATAGCACCTTTCTAGTCTCCCGACCACTCAAAGCGCTTTTACACTACATGCCACATTCACACACCGATGACGCAGCATCAGGAGCAATTTTGGGTTCAGTATCCTGCTCAAGGATACTTTGACATGCAGCAGCGGGAGCCGGGGATCGAACCCCCCAACCTTCTTATTAGGGGATGACCCGCCCTACCTCCTGAGCCACAGCTGCCCCAATATTTGGCAAAGTCCAAGACACATCTGAGTGCAAATACCAATGAATAAAAGACAACAGAAAAAACGTCTTGCTTGAGTCCAGACTTGTCCGAAACCACCTCTTGGGCTTTCTAATGGAGTTTAGGAGGTTAAGGGCAAATAAAGCTGCATGTTTAGGAGGGTTAAGATTACGATTAGGTTGTTGTATATAAGCTCACAGTAAGGGGTTGGGAATAGGCATTTAGCTGTAATGGTTAAAGTTAGACTGAATCCTTGCAAGTAAAGTACAAACC